AGAATGGGAGAGAAGGCATTTGCAGAACTGCACGTTTTCAGGTAGTCAACTATTTTCACTCTCAGCGAGCAGATGCCAAGTGTTATAGTTCAGTTAGAACAGGAACCCAGGGGGCACCTGTGTGTTTCAGTCCCTAAGGTTCTGACTCTCGATTTCGATTTCGGCTCAGGTCATGATCTCAGGGTCGTGGGATCTAGCTCTGGGTCAAGCCTGACATCAAGCTCTGTGCGTAGCCTGGAGTCTGTTTGTCCCTCTCTCTCAGCTCCTGCCCCACTCTCTTTCTCTCTCATATACATAAATAAAATCTTAAAATAAAAAAAAAAGAACGAAAAGGAACCCAGGTGTGAACAGGAACCCAGGATCGAGAAGGTGAGGTGCAGCATGAAGGACAAATGGCAAAAATGTAAGTGTTGGAAAATATCAGATACAGACACAGCACATATACACACATATGTAGGAACAGTCACAGTCCAGGTGACCTGTGACTAGAATCCAGTCCTACCTCAAGGGAGACGGTAATGCGCACCCGTTCAGAAAAATGTAAACACACACATTAAATCGGTGTGCAATGATCTTAAAACGAAACATGACATGACTTCCAAAGTGCTTGGTGTAATTAAATGAAACAATATTGTTTCCACCTTATTGAGGTATAAATGACAAACAGAAATTGGACATATTTCAGGTACATAACTGGATGTTTTGATATATGTATGTTTGTGGAGCGATCACCACATTCAAGCTAATTAATGTACCCAGCACCTCATGCAGGGAGCATTTGTGTATGTGTGTGTGTATGTGTGTGTGCATGTTTGCGTGTGGTAGGAACACTGAAGACCTACCCTCTAAGCCAATTTGCAGCATACGATAGGTTCCAGTCAGCTCCAGTCACATTGCTGTGCAGTAGATCTCCAGAACTTACTCGTCTGCATGACTGAAACTTGATACCCCTTGACCAACATCTCCCCATGCCCCCCTTTGCCCGGCCCCGGAAACTAATACTCCACTGGGTGTCTAGGAGTTTGCTGTTTGGGATTTCACACATCAGTGAGATCGCCCCGTACTTGCCCTGCTGTGTCTTGCGTATGTCACTTCCCGTAAACGTCCTCCGGGTTCACCCAGGTTGTCGCAAATGACAGGATTTCCTTTTTCAAGGTGGAGTAGTACTCCTTTCAGATAAATACCCTATTTTCTTTATCCAGTCATCTGGAGACAGACATTTAGGTTGTTCTCATATCTTGGCTGTTGTGGTTAATGTTGCAATGAACATGGGGGTGCAGATGTCTCTTTGAGATCCCGATTTCATCTACTGTGGACATAGACTCAGGAGTGGGATTGCTGGATCCTGTGGATCCCAGGGTTGCTTTCTTTCTAACTGTTTAAGGAAACTCCATTCTGATCTTCCACAGTGGCTGCCCCAATTTACATCCCCAGCAGTCGTGCACAAAGGGTCCATTTTCTCCACACTGTTGCCAAGGCTTGTTACACCTTGTTGTTTGGAGAAGAGCTCTTCTATCAGGTGGGAGCTGGTGTCTCACTGAGGTTTTGATTTGTATTTCCCTGAAGCTGAGTGATGCTGAGCACCATTTCATACACATACCAGCCCTCTGGATGTCTTCTTCTGAGAAATGCCTGTTCAGGTCCTCTGCCCATTTTCATTTGGGTTATTCTTAGTATGAGCAGTCTTATTGCACTGAGTTGTGTGAGCTTCTTATAGATTTGAAAAGTATCCCCTATGAGATGGGTGGTTTGCAAAGATTTTCTCCCATTCTGTAAGTTGCCTTTTCACCCTGTTGATGATTCCTTGGCCAAGCAGAAGGTGTTCGGTTTGACACTCCCACTTGTCTACTTTTGCCTTTGTTGCCCATGTTTTTTGGGATCATATTCAAAAAATCATTGCCCACATTGATGTCAAGAAGCTTTCCCCGTATGTCTTCTTTCAGTAGTTTTACGGTCTCAGGTCTTACGTTTCTGTCTTCAGTCCACGTGGGTTGATTTTTGTGATATGGTGTGAGGTAAGGGTCCAATCTCAATCTTCTGCATGTGGACGTTTCGTTTTCCCAACACCATTTATCGAAGAGACTGTCCTTTGTCGTTTGTGTTCCTGGCCGCTGGTGGAAGATGAGTTCACCGAGGTTCTTTGAGAAAATTATTTTGGAATTGTCGTCTCCATTGTTTTCACGGTCAGCTAATGCAGATGTGACTTTTCCTTTGGTAGTGTTGTATTTCCCTGATTGTTGGTGTTTCTTGTAGCTTTGCTTTGGTGTCTTCACAGAAGAGGAAATGGCCACCTCTTCAGGGCTTATGGAATATTTAAGCAAAGGACTGTCGTAGTCAGAAAGTTCTATGAGGGTTATACTAGCTGTTATCCTACATGGAAAGGAGACTTTAAATGAAATTAAGTAAGTCATCAATTAAAATAAACACAATACGTGCCCTCCTTAATACCCATCATTGGGCTAAGCCATCCCTCCACCCTCCCACCCCTCTACAACCCTCACTTTGTTTCTAGGAGTCCATGGTCTCTCACGATTCGTTGCCCCCTCCGATTTCCCCCTTCTTTTTCCTTTCCTTCTCCTAATGTCCTCCGTGCTATTCCTGATGTTTCAGAAATAAGTGAAACCATATGATCATTGACTTTCTCTGCTTGACTTATTTCCCTTAGCATCATCTCCTTCAGTCCCATCCATGTGGATGTAAAAGTTGGGTATTCATCCTTTCTGATGGCTGAGTAATATTCCATTCCATACATGGACCACATCTTCTTCATCCATTCGTCTGTTGAAGGGCATCTCGGCTATTTCCACATTTTGGCTATTGCGGACATTGCTGCTATGAACATTGGGGTGTATGTGCTCCTTTATTTCACTACATCTGTATCTTTGGGGTAAATAACCAGGAGTGCAATTGCTGGGTCCTAGGGTCGCTCTATTTTTTATTTTTTTGAGGAACCTCCACACTGTTTTCTGAAGTGGCCGTACCAACTTGCATTCCCACCAACAGTATAAGAGGGCTCCTTTTTCTCCACAACCTCTCCAACATTTGTTGTTTCTTGCCTTGCCAATTTTTGACATTCTGATTGGTTTAAGGTGGTATTTCAATGTGGTTTTGATTTGAATTTCCCTGATGGCTAATGATGATGAACATTTTTTCATGTATCTGTTAGCCATTTGTATGTCTTCTTTGGAGAAGTGTCTGTTCATGTCTTCTGCCCAATTTTTGACTTGAGTATTTGGGTTTTTTTGGTGTTGAGTTTGAGAACTCCATCAAAAACTGAAGGTGTACTGTATGGTGACTGACATAATTTAAATAAAATAAAATGAACGCAATAATTATAGGCAAACCTTGAGTGTCAGCTGGTCTTCCAAGTGATGTATATGGATTGATCACACGAAATTCACACCCCCCTCCTGATTCATAAACACGCTTCCACAGGAGAGCAGGGATGCAGACATTACTGTTGCCTCTACTTTCACAGGAGCTAGAGAGGAAGAGTTTCCAGAGCGCTGATCTGGGAAATTGGGGAAGGGTCTACGGGCCCAGCATGATTGTGTGAGTGTGTGTGCACGTGCACGTGCGGGACTGTGGGTGTGTCACAGGAAACTGCCCCAGTCTGGGTGGAGGGAGGCAGAATGGCAGCTGGGGTGGGAGCGTCACATCTGGACTCGCCGGGAACAGCCCTGGGTTCAGCTGGAAGAGCAAGCAGTTGACCCCGGGGATGGCGAGGACCAGGGGTGGTCTCTGGGAAGGGAAGGGGCAGATGGTGAAGGGAAGTTGCAGAGATGGGTGTGTGCGGGGTGACCTGGAGAAGCAGGTGGCCCTGGAGCACAGATCCCCGGGAAGGTGGTGAATGTGGCTGCGCGGACCAGCTGTGTCCAGGTGTGGACTGCAGGGTAGGCTGTGGGGTGGACAGGACAGGGGTGAAGGAGCCTGAGTGGTTTCTGCTGGCTGGTTGGCTGTGAGGTGTAAGAGACAGGGGTGGAGGGCAAGCTTCTCTCCTCTCCAGCCAGGCTGCCTGCCTGGAGACCCCAACAGCATCCTCCTCAGAGAAGCAGTGAACAAGGGCTGTGGGAGGGAGTGGGCTGAGGTTGTGCAGTATTCCTCTGCCCCCACGGGGAGGATGGTGGGATCCTCTTCCTGGCCCTGCTGGGCAGCTTTTCAGTGTCAGAGCAGTTCCCCTGGCTGACCTGCCCCTTCCCACGGGTAGCAGGACCTCTGGCTCCAACATCTCAGGACACACCATCTTGTTCATTCTGCCCCCTCAGAGCAGATGTCGATGCTGGGTATAGCTCTCCACTCAAACCGTAAAGATGCTATGGGGTTCAGAGGAGAGGGGTCCTCCCCAGAGCTCCTGCTTGAGGACAGTGATGCATATGGAAAATGGGCCAGGAGAGCAAGGAGTCTGCAGATCATCTCCCACTCAGGATGGTGGCACCCCAATTCGCATGTAAAGTGTAAGTACAATCAAGAGTGTTGAAGTCTCCTCCTGGTTGTGGAGTTCCCCATTTCTTCCCTATTCAAGAAATTAAACACACACACACACACACACACACACACACATTTTATTCAAGTAGGCTCCTCACCCAACATGGGCTTGAGCTCAGGACCCCAAGATCAAGACTCACATGTGTTACCCTTTGAATCAGCCCCCTAACCCCCTGTCTCTTGAAGCCATTTTTGTCTTTTGCGTGGTGGTTTGCACATTGAGAATTGTCATGTTTTCTTACAGAGGAAACCCCTTTATCAGGCACTGTCCCTCTTTTTCTGTGATACGATTGTTTGCTGTGAAATACCCCTCATCTGATATTCATGTGGCTCTTCAAGCTTTCCTGCATCTTCCCCACTGGAGACTTAGTGCTTTCCCTTCCTGTACTGCAGCTTTTGGAAGTGAGTATTTTCAGTGCCCGTCCATGTGGTGGAGCCCAAGTCCCCGCTCTGATGTCCACCTTGTGATATCATCTGATAAGTAAAGTAAACCGGGAGGGGCATTTCCTCAACTGCATGTTGGCAACAAGACGCATCATGCGTGTTCTCCTCCTGGTTTGTGCTACTCCATCTCGTTGACAGTATTCCAGAAATAGACGTTGGAGTGGTTAGAGATCCACGATGCAGAGCCTAGTCACCCCCAGATTGTCAATCAAAGATAGTGGGCACGCTTTCCGGAAGCTATCGAAGCAGACATCTGAACGAGACTGAGACACTTCAGCAGGATTCCCCGGCATCAGCTCACCCCTGATGCATGAGCAACATGTACTTACTATCTTACGCCCACATTTTGGGAATAATGAACTGATGATCAGAGCAGGGGCAAGGTTCAGATGGAAATAAGTCTGGACAGGTTAGCCAGGCTCACTCTACAGAGCCTTGAATGCGTGACTCAGCAGCAAGGACCATCTCGGGAGAAAGAATTGGAGATCCACAGAGGATTTTCCAAAGCAGAGCAGTACAGTCCGTCATGGGTGTGAGAACACCCTCTCTGGGGACAGTGTGGCGGACAGTGTGTGGCTCTGCCCTGTGATTTAGATCTTAGGCTATTGGGAAATTATGCTTTCTGTTAGTGTTTTCAGACAAGAGCTGCTGAGAGAAGACCCCAGTTTTCCTTTTAAGGAACATGGTCAAAAATATGGAAGCAAAAGAATAAGACATGCGATCGTTGTTTAATTTATGAAATATGAAGGGAAAGGGAAGATGAAAGTACATCCTCTGAAAAACGGGAGATGTGAGAGTTCAAACAGCAGACATATAGACAGATAGCTGGATGGCAGAATAAGAGTTCCTGCCATCATGCCCCAGATCGTCGAAGTGGACAACCCAAATCAGAGATGACCATGCCCAGTCTCCGTAGTAGCCCCAGGCCCGCACCGATGATCTCCAACTTGGTTCGGCTTACCGGGAATGACAGGTCCTGACTCATTCGAACCAGTTTTTAATTCCTAACCACACAGCCCATGACACTGAAGTGGCTGTTCAGAGAGCCAGCTTCTTTCCTGGGACGTGGCTCCTTGTCTGATCAGACTCAGGTGAGTCTCCGCAGGTAGATAGTGATCCTGTTTGAGGCACCTCAGTGCCATCATGTGCGTAGGTGCTGTGTCAGATCCGAGGTGACGTTGGATGATGCTCAGGATAGAGTGTACACTATGGCTGTTCCATCCCACTTCAGCCCCATCTCACTAAGGTGTCTGCAGAATAGGAGCAGGTTACAGAGAGAAACCTGGTCTTTACCAGGAACAACACGTGGACCCCGAGTTGACAGACTAGCATCATGGAGAACACCACCAGTGCTCCAGATGGTGGTTTCCATCCTGAACAAAACCTTCCACGTCACCGTGTTGTTTACCACCTTAGGATGCCGTGGGATTCTTTCCCTTCCTTTATTTATAGGCTGAAATATAACTTCGCCTCCTTAAATAATATATGCTTCTTTTTTGAACTTATGTATAAAATGGAATAACTCCACACACGTGGTTCTTAAAATTTCCCTTCTTTTTTTTTCAGTTTAGTTCCAAAGTGATTTATGCGATTGCTTGGTATTTTAATTTGTGCTTCGTTTGGCCATAAGATATTCAATTTCATACATGTAACACAAACATTCCTTAACTGTAATTTTATTTGTATGGCTTTGTCTACACAGAGCAACAGCCTTGTCAATATTCTCCTGCAGGTGTCACTGTGCATACGCACACACTTTCCTCTAGGGTGTGGAATTATAGGCCAGAGCTGTGTCCGTTCCTTTCACCATGGGATTCTGATCTTCTCCTCCAATTGTTTGTAATGTAATGTACTGGCCGTCTAAGTGCACAATATTTTCTCCAGCATTGGATTTTGCCCTTGTGTTCTCTTGCCTCTCCTGTGCATGCAGGAGGATTTGGGCGTCACAATTTCCCTGAAACTGTGGCATTACATCGAGGTGGTAAATCCCAGGAACTTTAAAATAAAAGGAAGCACATGTGCACGGCGGGTCACCAGTGAGGTGCGCCTGCAGCTAGATCACACTCACTTGTGAAAGATGCTGTATCCATGACCCCGTGACTGGGCACACGTGCATTCGTGCGTCTCCTTGATGTTGTTCATGACGGGAGTGTTTACACCAAAGAAATGGGCAAATGCCACGAGTCACAACATTAAAAAAAAAACCACATTTATATCTTGGATTCAGTGTAGTAGTTCATCACCAGGCTTCACTTCAAACACCCCTGAGCTCCCTCAAACTGATGGTATTTCTGGAAAACTCTACCAGGTGTCATCTCATGAGGATAGAAGACCTCTATGAGTCCAGAGAGGGTTTAGGGAAAGGTTTTGGCTTCATGTGTTCCAAAGCGGACCTGATTTTCACCCATCTATTTACTTATGAAAACAGATTTTGTGTTTTGGGCTGAAGAGATGGTGGTCCATAGTGCACCTCAGGGAAAGAGGAAATGGAAAGTAAAGGGAAATGTATCGCACGAAGGTGGACCAGAGCTGCTGCTCTAAGAAGGTATGAACGCAACTCCGCTGTGTGGGACGAACCCTCACACCACAGGGATGAGGAAAGACAGGGGGGCCGTCAAGGATGTCCAACAATGGCAGGAGGGAAAGCACCACAGTTCATGTGGGATGAGTCCTGGACTGAGAACAGCCCAGCCATTTCCTGGCATCTAAACCATGTTTCCCCCTGGATGTTCTCAGCACACAGATCAGCTAGCATGAGCTGTAGGCTTTCTTCCGGATCCCCTTGGGCACATCAGATTGTTGTCCAAAGGTCTGCCACAGGGAATGGTGTGTTTGCTCCCCTTGTGTTTAGCTCCTGGCTGCATCTGGGGTCCTTGTCTGGCTGTGCTGAGCCTCTAGTAGCAGAATCCCGAGGACCAGCAGGATCAAGGCAGCCACGCCCATGCGGATGAGATTCTCCACCGTGTAATCCCTGCGATCTGAGGCTAAGAATGAGGACAGAGAGGTTGCAGAGGTCAGTGTGGACCCAAATCACCCAGATCCTGGATGTGCACCCAGGACACCCGCCTCCCCCGACAGGACACCCCCTCCACCCCAGCCCCATCACTGAGACATTCTTCTACTTACCACTGCTGGGGTCTGAATTGTTTTGGGGTGGGCTCAGGGTGTCAGCTGTTCCTGCAGGGAAGATGGAAGCAG